GGACAGAACCTTCCTAAACTGCCCAAGACTGGGCTTAAATCTTCACTTTTCCTGCCGTACAGAATACTTTTTTTTTTTTTTTTTTTAAATTTTCACAGGGTTTCACTGAATTGCCCAGGCTGGGGTCAAATGTGTAATCCTACCTCAACCTCCCAATTGCTGGAATTATAGGCATGACCCATCACACCTGGCTCAATTCTGAATCTTTAAGCCTTTCCTTTTTGTTTTTGAGACAGTGTTTCACTGTAAATTCAGACTGGCCCCAAACTCTTTTCTTTTTTTTTTTTTTTTGGTTTTTTGGAGACAGGGTCTCACTATGCAGGTCAGGCTGGCTTGAGCTTACTTTGTAGGCCAGGCTGGCCTCAGACTCGCAACGATCCTCCTGCCTCAGCCTCCTGAGTGCAGGGATTACAGGGGTGCACCACCATGGCTGGCTCTGTTCCGCTTTTAACAACGTCTTATTATGTACCAGATACTGTTCCAGTACTTACGAAATCAGGATTCATTATCAAATATCTATTTTGTGCCTCCTTGTTTTGGAGGTGAGGGCTGAGTATGAACGACACGCAAGAGTCTTGCTTTCATGGCGCTTATGTTACAACACAGGAAGCAGCCAGGACAGCCAGGCCTGGTGGTGCAAGGCTGCAAGGCTGCAAGGCCAGCTATAGGGAAGCTGAGTAGGAAGGGCAGTCCCAGGCCTGAAGCCGCAGGAGAATTCCAAGCACAGTGAGAAGCTACTGGAGAACATGAAGCGGGGAGTGCCGGAGCCCAGGCTGCATGTCTATGGGGACCAGTCTAGCTGCCCTGTGGGAAACACAGTACACTGGCGAAAGAGGAGGCAGCCAGGTGTGGCAGAGCCGTCTGTAATCCCAGCACTCTGGGAGAGGACTGCAGCATACAGAGCAAGACCTTGTCACAAAAACAACAAACAAAATCTGAGCAGAGCTCTCCCAGTCCGACCCCTTCACTGGCCGGTAAGGAAAGCCATGCCAAGAAGGCTAAAAACTGCTCTGGTTTGGACCAGTGAACCCCAAAGGACCACATTTTAATGGCTTGGTCCCCCAAGGCTGTGCTACTGGGAGTAATAGAACGCTTACAAGGCGGGGTGCAGCGGCAGTGCCCTGCATCATGGGGTATGGCGTGAAGACCTCCGGACCCGGCCTTCCTTGCTGTCCTCACTCCCTGGAGGTGGGCCTGGCTGCTCCGTTATGCGCTGGAACCACAGCTCGAGGCAGCCCTGTCACCATGGACTGCACTCTGAGACTGTGAGTCAGAATATGTAAGCCTTTTCTACTTCAACCTCCAACTGCCTCAAGCATTGTGTTACAGAGACAGAAGACTGACTACACAAGGATCATGCTGACAGTTACCCAGAAGCCAGTGGTTCCGTTCTGATAATGGTCTACTGTACACACAGTCTGAACTAGAGGGCTGTTCAGGGCTCCCCCACCCTCCCCATACTGGGGATTGAACACAGGGCCTTCCCAATGATCTATATTTTCACTCTATCTTTTTCATTCTGAGACAGGGTCTCCCTAAATCTCTAAGTTACCCAGGCTGGGCCTCTGACCCTCTGGCCTCAGCCTCCCAGAGCTCTGGGACTACAGGCATGCACCACCACACCTGGCTTACTGATGCTTACTTCATTCCAGAAGGAAATACAGGGTTGGTTCCTGTGAACCTCTGGCCATAACGCATTTATCAACCAGTCAGCTTATGACCTTGCTTCATGTGTTTCTATTTAAAGAGACCTTAAACAATATGGTCAGTTCACTAAAACAGACCTGGTGGCTGACAGCCCTCCAATTCACACCCGAACCCGCACACTTTCTCCATGAAGCAGACCTCAACCTCTCGTACTGATGGGCCCTAGACAGCACTCAGCACTATGGCTGGGCTTTGGGGTTCTGAGACAGAATCTCACTGTACAGCTCGGGCTGGCCTGGAACTTCTGATCAGGCTGCTGGGACTCTAGGCGTGCTCCATCACGCCTGGCTACGTTTTTGTTTTTTACATCTTTCCTTGCACAGGAGAGACAGGTCAGAAACAGGAACCAGAACAAGCTCAGTTAGAGCGGGAGAAACGGAAGTGGCTGAGAGGTGTAGGGCAGGGGCGGTGCACCTGGCAGCGAGGCGGTCTGCCCAGTGAGCGGCTCTCACCTGAAGCTGATAGGCCAGGTCGGCCTGTGCACGGCGGGTGTTGACCTCGATGTCGTAAGCCGCCTTCTTCAGCTCATAGTCCCTCTGGGCCTTGGCCATTTCGATCTCACTCAGGTACTGAGCAGAGACCTTTTCCTGCTTGGCCTTGGCCTCCTGTAGGAGTGGGGTTCGGGCAAGAAGTCAGGGTGGAGAGGAAGCTGCTGCTGAGCTCTCCCTGCCTTCCTCACCTGGCTGAGCTGTTCCCCTGCAGCCAGCTCCACCAGCCCAGCCCAGTCCAGCCGTGCCCTCTGTTCCCTCCCCACCGGGTGACCAGCGCACCTGTGGTCCCCAAGCAGTCCCCCATCTCTCACCCGTATCCCAGCATCCCTCTTGGCCTCGGCTTCCCCGATCCGAGCATCTTTTTGGACTTGTGCTGTCCGTGCTTTCCCCAAAGAGTGCAAATAGTCCTGCGGGGAAGGGGCGCACGCCAGAGCCTTAGGGCTTAGGACACGGGAGCAGGGCGAGAGGGGTGCCCCGTCTTACCTGGTCGTCGTGGATATCCTTCAGCGTGTAGCTCACCACGCTGATGCCCATGTTGACCAGGTCGGAGGAGGCCACTTTGAAGACCTGTTCTGAGAACTTCTGTCTGTCCTTGTAGATCTCCTGGGCCGACACAGCGTGGGAGGCAGGCTCTCAGGCTGGGCCGCGCTCTCAGAGGAGGGGCACCCTGCCCGACCCTCCCGGCCGCCGCGACCCCCAGCGGCGCACCTCCACCGTCATGTGTGCCATGATGGCCCTCTGGTGGCCCTCCAGCGTCTCCAGGGCGATGTGTGCGATCTCGGCCTCCGTCTTCCCCAGGAACATCTGGCAGGCAGCCGCCAGCATCTCCTTGTTCTGCCCCTGAATCTTCACCTGCAGCAGAACAGGGGCACAGGCGGCTGGGCGGGGGCTCGGGAGGCCAGGGGCGCCCGGGAGCAGCGGCTGCTCCCGGCCAGGGAGGGAGGGGAGGCCGAGCCGGCGGCCTCGGGTGGGCGCCGGGGCTGCGCGAGCCGCACCTGGGCGATGCCCGTGACCGAGATGGGCACCCCGTGGCGCGTGTACACCTTCTCGCTCTTCACGTTGAGGGTCAGGGTGTTGAGGGAGATCCTGGGGGAACAGGAGGAGCGGCGGGTGAGCCCGCGCAGCGCGCGCACGCGGGCCGAGGCCCCCTCCCGTCCCTACCTCTGGATCTTCTGGATGCAGGGCAGGACGAAGACGCGGCCGCCGGCCACCATGACCGGGGGGCTCCGGCAGAAACCTGCGGGCGGCGGGCGAGGGCAGAGCTGGGCGCAGGCTGCGCGCCAGGGAGGGGCAGGGCAGGGCCGCGCGCAGAGCTGGGCCTGGCTAAGGAGAAAGCACTTACCCGAGACCACCATGGCCTCGTTGGGGCCACAAGTGAAAAACATGGCTCAGGCGGGGCCGCAAGAGAGAGCTCGGCTGCCGAGGCGGGTGCGCGGCG